TCACCCATCTAATTGTGGTTCGATCAGAGTCAATTAATTGTGATTAAAATAATGTAAGTTAATGAAAATATGTAAAAATATTCACATAATTTAAAAAAATGTAATATTTAAATAAAAATGAATTAATTTATGAGTAAATGAAATATTCATGTATGAATCACACATAATCCAACAAAATAGGTTACTAAGATTTGATTGGTCAATCCTAGTTAGGCTTTAGTATCACGGTCCCCACCTCCCAAAGTTCCCATTTTTCTAATTAAAATCAAACATGATTTTTTGTACGTTGGCAACAATTTGTATGTATACTATCTCCATTTTTTAATATAAAAACTACTTAAGAAATTGAATTTGATCCTATAAAACTTTAATTTATTTTATTTTTCATATTTATGATTTTTTTCCAAATTAAATTTAACTTAAAAACTGATATTTCTATATATAAAATGTAATATTATATATTATTATTTTAAGAAAATTATATCATATCTAGTATGATTAACTAATTTATTTGATTCCATTAATCTATTTAAATTAGTTAGGTAACGAAGCATTAAGTATATGGGGAACATATATAGTGTGATTTATTATATATTTTGTAATTTATTATAAATTTTATGCTTTGTATATTGATATTCATAAAAAAAACTTATTATCAACAAAAAATTATTTCATTACTAATTTTTAATGGATTACTGACAAACTTTTTTGCTATATTTATCAATAGATTAGTCACGAAATCTCATTTCATTTCTAATCCGTGACTAAATTTTTAGCAAAAAAATTGTCACTAATCCCGTTAATAATCTGCTGTGTTTTCTGTAGTAATTCGTAATGAGTTAAATTCTCATCATATTTCATTTCGATGGGCATGCAGTGGGTCAAAGTGGTTTTTTACAAACTTTTTTTTTGGTAAAATTAAAGAAAACTTCATTACTCAAGAGAATTAACGAAGTCACTGCCACATCAAAAACTACAAGGCCACAAAATAGCTAGATACAAACTGGAGGCCAAAAGATGAATAATGAGAAAAGTATAACACCTATATAATACTTTTTTGATTTTAAATATAAGAGTTAGTAAATGAATTTATTTTAATTTTAAATTTATATCTTAGTTCGTTTTATTTCTTAGAATGTGTTTGGTATGAGGAAAATTAAAAAAATGAGAGGAGAGAAAAAATTTAAATATACCTAGTTTAAAAAACTAAAGAAGCAAGGATATAAAATTTTGATAAATCCACTTCTTAATTTTTTTAAAATCGAACTCATTAAAATTTTTTCTCTTCTCTCATCCTCTCCAATTCTCTCATACCAAATATCGCGTTAAACTTATAAATGTTTACAAATCATTCTTATTAAGTACACAAATTATTAACACAAACGATTAAAGAGATGATTTTAGGAAAGATAACCAAAACAAATAACTATCTTAACTAATTATTTTAACCTTTACAAATTGATTATTTAGTTTCTATATTAAAGATTCGACAGAGTATATTTAAAAAAAGAAACCATGGCCCTCCTCATTGACTCATTCATTCGTCGATCCCTCCTCCCTCTCCCACTAAAGCAAAGAAATATAAAAGCCTTATCTCGTAAGCTTCCAACATACCACAGCAAAGGGGATCTTCCATTATTGCTGATTCCTGAAAGTGGTTTGCAGATTTGTTTCATCCACACATCGAAGGGAGAGCTTAAGAAGTCAAAAAAATGCAGTGGCCATGAGGAACAATAAGTTGCCAGCTGGGAGGAGAAGTGGCCTCGTGGACGGTGCCTGAGCACTTGATCCAGATCTCTTCTTCTGGATGCATCACCTCTAGGTCCAAAGCATCTCTCTCTCTCTCTCTCTCTCTCTATATATATATATATATATATATATTAAAGCATCTGATTTAAATTTGATTATGAAGAGAAACATCTTATTGGTTCTCTTGGGAACTGTATAAGAAAGTGCATTGTACTGCTTTAGGGAAGGAAGTGTTAAAAATATAAAAGTGAACAGGACTAATGGTAGGGGCAAATTATTAAATAATTATCCTTTTTTTAAAAAAAAACCAGAATTGCATTGGGAAGCCGTTGATGATTAGTAGGATTTTATTATTATTACTTTCTCTCATTCTAATTGTAGAAGTTAATTAAAATATTTGTTTTAATCTTAAATGAAATTTTTTAAATTATTTTATCTTCCAAATTTGTATTCTCCAAAAACTGTTGTTGTTAGTTGCACATATTAATGAAGGATTTTTAAGACATATGATCATATGTTGTTGGAGAGTTTAACCTAAGATATAAAGAACTTGACGTGTATATTATCCTTTTCATATATATGGGGTAATTTTTTTTTTGGTCAAATATGTGGGGTCATCTCCATTACAAATTATTAAAAGGGTATCTTAAGGAAACCAATGCATTTTTTTAATATATAACTCAATTAATTTTTTTATTTGTGTAAATTAATTATCTAATTCTTATATTTAAGGTCAAAAAGTGTTGTTGATGTTGTTCTTGTTGTTGTTATTTCTTCTTAAGATTAACTTGTATTTTATATTTTTAACCTACATAAATTCGTTTCAACTTATTCTTTCATACTTTTCAACAAAACCAAACGGCAGATTTAGATTTTCTTAAGAAAAGGTATCAGATTTCTATACAACTATATATATTACATATTTAATATAAAAGTTAGTTGGGAATTGTATTTGATACTAAATATAAGACATTAATTCATTTTGTTTATCAAATTTATCATTCATCCTCCAAAATATTCCTACTAATTGTACGTATCAATAATTGAATTATATCTAAGGATAGTTATGGTTAAAAAGATACTTTAAGGAATTAAACTCATATCTGTTATAAATAATTAACTTAATAAAATTTTTTAATTTAATCAAATTAGTTAAGTAGCTCTTATATTAAATATAAGAGGTGGTATAATTAAATAAAAACTGTTGGACCAAGTTGATATGGTTGCTTTATAAACCATATACTGTAAAACAAGTCACATATATATTTTTCTTTCTTTTCTTTTCTTTTTCTTTTTGGACGAACATCTATCTATCTTTCTTTCTTTGTGATTATGATTGTTATTATTTAATATTTAATATCCAAAACCATTTCTGACGAAGACCTTGGTGCAGTCAAGCTCAGCTCCTGCAGGAAAATGAGCACTTTGCTATGATATTGCTGTGACGTACGGTAGTAGTGATAACTCATAAGACATCATTTTCAGTCATCCTCTCTTGTCCCCTGTTATCTTCAATGGGTTGCATGAATACATCGTTTTAATTTAACTGAAGTAGTGACTATTGGGACCATAAGTTTTTTGATTTAGCTATTTGCATAATTTCATCTGAGAATAGAGAAGCTGAGAACTATATCATAACTAGGAAGATGCTCAAATGGATAGCACTCAATTATCGAGATCTTTATACAAAGTTAGTAATATGAGTTGAAATCGCGAGTCCAATTGTCAACTAATAGATTCACTCTTATATATGGACACACATATGCCAAATGATGCCTCCCAACACCTAGTTTAAGTATATAATTAAGTTTATTTGATTTTATTATATTTGGTGAATTAGTTGATGAAAAGGAAAAAGAGGTGAAGCCATTACTTCTAGAGGCCTAATACAGGATGAGTATTTTTATTAGTGAAATAATAGATAACAGATTTATTGGTAAAAGAAATTATTTGCATGTAATCTAAAGTTTGCGGACATTCATTTTAAACTTTTGAAGGGCATCAGGCCATATGAACTAATCTTGAAATAATAATGGCTAATTTAGGGTTAAAACTTGACCCATTTTTATCTTAACCGGGTATTATAAAATTTTAAGAATAAAGTTGATTGATTCATTTAACTTATAAACTAATATATTACCTCCAGTCCTTAATATAAGAACTTGTTTGACTTTTATTTTGATTATAAATATAAGACTTCAATATACTTTATTTCTTATATTTATTTATTTTTTTCAAGGTAGTTCTTGTAATAATGATAGTTCTAGTCAATACACTAGATTACTAAAGATGTTTTAGGAAAGACAATACAAATTTATTATAAATAACTAACTTAACTAATTTTCTTAATTTATTTAAATTAATCAATTGACTCTTATATTAAAGACTGGAGGTAGTGCAATCTAATTCTACCTCTAATTCTTAATATAAGGTCTAACTGACTAATTTAGAGAGATTAAGAAAATTATTTAAGTTAGTTATTTCTAGTGTGTTGTCTTCTCTAAAATACATTTATTAATCATGTGTGTTTGAATTATAATTACCTATTAATAATAACTCCCTAACATATGTAACTACTATATGAATTACTTGAGGGCAAAATGAAAAATTATTGGAGACAAGATGGATTGAAATTTTATAATTAAGAGCAAATTGAATGCCAAATTATCTCTTATCTTAAGGACCAAATATAATACCATACATGAATATTTTAAAGAGATCATTTTTTTTTATTTGACCAAAGGGAGAACATGTATTTAACTTTTTTAATTTACCCAAATTAATTAAGGATATTTTACATTAATATTAATGACCTAATAATCTTTTTTTTAAAAAAAAAAAAAAGAGTCCACCATAGATCTCATGAAACGTAACATTCCATTCATGCAATAATAATGGAAACAAGGGGAAAGGAAATGAGACCAAATCATACTCCTCCTGTTCTTAATATAAGATCTAATTGTTAAGTTAATTTTAGTCCTAAATATAAGATATATTTATTATATTTATCAATTTTTCCTAAATTACCCTCTATAAATGTTCCTTCAACTATAATCAAATAAGTGAGGGAGAAAGAATATTAAGAAAAATGATTATGGTGTTTTAAGAAAAACATGTCATATTTCTTGTCACTAATTAACTTATCTAGCTTCCTTAATCTAATCAAAAGTATTAGATAGCTCTTATATTAAGGACTGAAGGAGTATAATATTTTCTTCTTCTTTTTTCGGTGACAGGAGTATAATATTTTCTTTTTGCCAACCAAATCATGTATATAATAAATTTAATACCATTTTATCAGCTCCTATATTGCTGATACAGCAAGTTTAGTTTAAAAAAATTTCCTAATTGACAGATAACATAATTAACTAAAGCCAAATCTCAAATCAAATGCTACTTCTAATTCCTTCAACACCTGACAAATGACTTGTTTGGAACAAAATCTATAGATATAGGACAAATATGAGCATGACAGGCGAACAATTAAACTGACAACTGAGCCCTTAAAGTGGGGAAGTTAGCCTCTGTAATAAACCTGCTGCACACTAGTATTTACCAAGCAACTCAAAACTGCTAAAAGAACTCGCGTTCAACAAGTTTACTATTTTTGAGGCCAATTCATATACGTACTGATTTGTTTTCCACTGAAGCCAATCAACCTGGTAATTTAAGGCCAAACTGCCAGATCTCTCTGATACTCTACGCCTTTTGCTTTCTCAGAACAGAAACTTGACTATGGTGTATTGGTGATGAACAGAGCCTGGATTTAGACTGTGTCCCAATTAGGGATGTTAGCAGAGGCCTCGTTCACCATCTTTACAAGAGTAACCTGAAGAGACATGATGAGCAAGAGCAGGTTAAAGTTGCTTCCTATCATGTTTTCTTGTTCAAGAAGAAAGCAAGAACATGCCAGGGTTGAACCTGACAGCCCAAGCCAGGCAAAGATGAGGAATCAGCTTTATAAGATGGTCATAATAATTTTGATTGCTTGCCGCTCAGATGAGAACTGTGAGCCAATAGGGTGGGGCATGAAATCTATTGCATTGTGCTGTGGACCACTTGGCACCTATTTCTTTGTGATTTCAATTTCTTATATAACAAGGAAACTGGGGGGAAAGACAAACGTTTATGGTGTATTGTAGCATATACCAAGATTATAATGCAAGGCAAATAAGCGACAAGCTTAATTCATCTCAAAGCTGCAAGTTTTCATCTTCCAGCCATTAATTATTTTTAAAATTTGATATAACCCCATATATATAATAAATTATATTAAAGAAACACGTTGAAGTTGAAAGAAAGCAGATAAAGCATGCAGAACGCCAGAACCTAATCCTAAGTCTAAAATTGATATAGCAAGTAGGAAATTAGGCAGTGCCAAAATGTCATGCCACATTTAAATGAAACAATCCGAAAATAACCGTCACAAATGATGCACTAAGGATATCTTGGTTGATGATGCTCACTAATTTATCTAAAAAATAAAAAAAATCTAAACTAATACAAGAATTTAACTAAGGACTGGCAAACGAGAGGAGCACCATAGATATAATCAGTCAATTGCATAAATCCCAACTTTTCTAGTCGAAATGGTGATGTCAAAACAACTCAAACCTACAACAGCAAGATATATCATGGTTCATTTTGGCAAGGCTTTCCTTCCCTTCTAACACTCCTGATTTTTTTTTTGGGTGTTAGTGAGCATGTGCGTGAGAGAGGAGAGGGCATTGTGGGATTCGTTCCTCTTCCATGACATGATGGTCACGTAAGAATAGAGATGAAAGTAAGATTTGATTTCGGAAAGACATATAAATCTAGCATATTATCTCTCTCCTCACATGAATGTTATGCCAAATCAAGTATTATGACAATATTGTGCAAGGATGGGATAAAAGTATACTTGAGACGAAATCTAAGCTATCTAAACTTTAATCATGAGATAAAAGCCCAATATTTTATGCGTCATTGCTCAAAATAATGAAACTAGCATCATCACCTATCAAACCATTCCCTTAAAACTTTCAAACCTTAACGCATACCACAAGCTCAACATACAGATCCATTGCAAAGGTGAAAATAAGTGCAAACATGCAATCAAAGAACACAACAGAATAACTAGTTCAACGGTCAAAACATTCCGTCGTCTTGAACTCGCAAAATATGGATACTTTAGTTCCTAATTCAGATAGTTTTAGGTAATTGTAGACATACAAATGGCAAGTATACTGTTTTTCCTAATAGATTCCATATATGAATGTTATATTTTTTTAGATGTGGGTGACTAGTTAAAATTTGTGACAGATTCTGCTGTATTTGAAGCAAGAACCATGAAATATGAAGCAGAGATCACATATAAAATACTACTAGCCTTTTTTTGTTAACCAGAAGAACAGAAAAGAAATAAATCCCTATACATACCACACTTTCAGGAACCCCTGGCGGCGGTAAGGGCAGGTTTCTTGGGGGAGGTCCACGCAGATGTGACCTTTTATCAAATCTCCACTCGCCAATTTTACCATACGTCAACTCACCCTGAGCATAATGATTAATGAAACATCATTAAGAGTCCTATAAGATAATATCAGAGTGGATAAGAAATGGGTGTCTTTCATAAAGAGAGAATATCAGCCAAAGCATTGCTTTGTAGCACAATAGAAAATAATGCAAGTTTCAGGAAATCAGATGTCGGTTCAACAAAGAAAGGAAATTCATACGCATGTATTCAACAACAAAAAGTTTTCATAATTAGGAAAGAGGAATGATAAGAAATAACTGACCTTTAAATTGTAATCGCATCCATATGTATAATGGATGATAAACTTATTACGAGTTTCAAGATCCCATGGAGGCTGAAAAAAGGGACAAAGATGAAAAAGAAATTTTAGACTTTCATATGATCGTGACAAGCAGAAACTAAATGACATGACCCCATACAAAACCAGGAGATTCACGTTAAACCACACCTGCAGCATGAAGTCTTTCCGCAAAATATGTCGAACACCATGGAGAGCAGATGCTATAGCATAGCCATACCTTCGTTCAACAAGAAAAAACCATTAACATGACATGAAAGTTCCAGTATGCTTAGCCACTAGGATCTTGAATGTATTAAATTGTAACAAGCGTCAACTTGGCAGACATACATTTCTAGCACCCATCCAAAGGCCTTATCAGTCTCTGGGTCCTCTTTCATCTTCATAGAGATATTCATCCATGTTGGAGCAATCTTTGAAAGCACATCCTGGGGAAAAAGAGAGTGTATATAAAACTATTGACTCACTAAAATCTCTCAATAGAAGGATAATGAACTATATTAGGAGAAGCAGCAGCTGATATTATTGATTGTAGGAATCACTATAATGACAAGGCGGTTAGAATGGAAAGGGCAGAAAAGAACAAAGAAAACATTTCTCGAAATTCAATGATTAAAAATTAAAAGGTAATGACTACGATGGATTATATGCATATTTTCAGGAAATATATCGGCTAACCTAACCTAGGCCCAAAAAACAAGAGATTTTGCTCAAATCACTAACTAAATTTTGAGTTATCCCAACTGCCCAAAATATGGACCCTAGTTCCTAAATGTCTTCCCATACTGCATCACAAGGTCACAGCAAGTCATGTAACCATCGAGGAAGTAAATGGATCATGGTTTAAGCAAGTTGGAGGCTAGCAACTTTATGAGGAAATTCTACCTTTCTTATGATTACAGGAGAATTGCCGATTGGATCAACATTTGTGACAGGTCCATTCTCCTCAGGATAAAACTTCCTTACTATTTTCTCATTCTGATCTGGCCTGATATAAAAAAATGGAAAAGCAGCTGGATGCTCCCCAAAAGCCAAATTCGGAAGAGGATTCACAAAAATGTGATCAGGTTCTGCCATCAAAACATATCTGATAAAAACAGTGGAGGAATTACTTCAGGTTCAGGTATTAGTAACACAAGGAATGGATAAATGGGTATAAAGATCTTACTCTTCCTCTATTGTTGCTTTCTCTAGCCATTGCACAAAGGCCCACGGTCTGTTCAGAACTATGTATCCCTACGTACAAATTAAGTGATATGTCAGAAAATCATTGAATGGTATTAATGAAGAAAGAGGAAAAAATGTATTCTGGTATGCTGAGAAAAGGGACACACACTATTCATTTCTTTATTTAACAACACCAGAGCTTTCCTCACTTTTCATAATTATAGTTTATAGAAATGGCGGACATTGTACAATCTCTTAGTTAATTCTAATCGTTATCCCTCCCAACTACTTTAACTAACGGCCATTAATTATCAACTAACTAGCTATTTCAGGAGACTGATTTTTCTATAATTACCATGTATCACATGCACATATGTACGGAATCTAGACATTTAAGATACTCCCAAGCATGGCATTCAAAATTCACTTTTGATTAAAATTTTAACAACCAGAACTCCAGAGTGAAAAGCAATACATGCATGCATTCACACATATACATCTATATGCTTTTATTTATCCATATACCCAGCAAGCAGATTAAACCTTAAATCCAAATATAAATAAAGTAACTGCCAGGGAAGACATTCCAAGTCCATAGCACTGAGCTTCCAATTTTTCTATTTAGGGGGGGGGGACCCCAAACCTTTTAGAATGTGCGCCATATCCCCTTTTTTTTTTTTTTGGTTGAGTCTATAAACACAAACCATGTGAATCAGCTCAAACTGAAACATGTGATGGTTGTTCTTGGTGATGCATTGCATTCCTCCAAATCAATATTTCCTAAATACTGCATCAAATTTCACTATTTTGTGTGATCTAAGCGTTTCAAAGCCCAAGTTTATCTTACAAAGAAGGAAAATCAATCATTGAAATAGAACAATAAGGATATACATACACAAGCATGTATTGTACATTAACAGACTTTAATGATCATGTAGAATGCTTCTAGCAGAAATAAAAAAAGACAAGGAAATAAAGATAGTAAATAATTAATAAATAGCTTTGATAATAACAACAGCATCCTCACCCGGTCCAACCCTGAAGGAAGAGGATTAACCACAAGAGTAGGAATCTCATCCATCAAGTTGTCTGGATTTCCCGAATGTAGAATCCTAGTGAATCCTCCCATTTCTGAACCAGGCAAGGCTTTTTTCTTTTTATACCAGTAATACATGATGCGGCATTGCCATTTATTGTATGTTGCATTAGTAGCTGTTAAGGCTACATGAAAGAGTGCTTTTGGTCTCTTCTGATTCTTTACATTCTCAGGCATCTCAACAATGGGGTCAAATGATAATTTAACATCTATCTCATTAACTGTCAAGTTTGTTGAAGATGCATAGCGAATTATCATTGTTACCAGATTATAAGTTGCAAAGGAAGAGCCAAGAACCAACAGAATTAGAAATAATGGTGAAGCCCGTGCCATGGTCTTCCTAATCCTGTTGGATATCAAATTATCATGAGCCAAACTTTCCTCGGTTCTTTATCCTTATAAAGCCAGATCTCTTCTCTGTCAACTTATAACTGTCAGTCAATGCTGCATGAACTGAAAAAGAATCATATCAAAGGTAAAATAAAAAAATAATCCTTTACTATAATATTAATTAACAATTCCACGCTCAATCAGCAATCATTACAAGTTAGAGCAATTTAACCAATCAAAGAAAAGGAAAATTGCAATTCAGACATGAAAAAGCAATCAAAGAACTACATATTTAATAAGCATCAAAACAAAGTAGGAACCAAAAAAGGGAACAATCTAAGAAGCCATGGTACTAACATGGATTCAGACGCGGGATATGAGTGATGGATAGATATCGAACAAGATATAACTCCACTTTTAGGCATTGATGCTTTGAAGTTAAGAACTAAAAAGGAACACTCACCGAAGCCAAAGTGGGAGAAAAAGGAAATACAGAAACAGCAGATTCATAAATTTCAGGATTTGGATCAAATCAACCACACTGTAAGTTGAGACTTACCACCAGCTCTGCCAAATTAGTCCCTCAATTTGATAAGCTATTGGAACAATATAAATTACAGCGGCCAACTGCTGATTAAAAAAAAAAAAAAAGATCCACTTGAAAAATGGGAATGAATCGCCAAGATACAAATTACTGAGGAAATCGATTGGTTAAGCACAAAAAAAGAAGACAGAACAGGCAAACAGGGTGCAATTCACAAGAAGACACTCGTTAATCAGTTAAACAAAGCTAAATCAGTGCATCAAGAGCAATTTAACCAGCACCGAACCAACATAAAATTCGAACTGTCAATTGACGACAAATTACAGTGGTGAACTGCTAATAAAAAGAAAAAATTCCACTCAAAAAATAGGAAAGACCAATAGAACTGAGGAAATTAGGTTCTCCAGCACAAAAAAGAAGACCCTGATTGGCAACCAGGGTGCGAGTCGCAGGAAGACACTGCGTTGTTATTGCTTACTGTCAATAATTCAGCTCAAAATTAAGCTAAAAATAAAATGTAACAAGAAGAAATTGAAAGGCAATCCGAGATCATAGAACAAGGGAAATATCAATGTTACCTTCGAGGGAGAGCAATGATTTTTGGATCCGAAGGATTGATTTGAAAGAGAAACTAAATAAATAACACAGAAATGTACTCAGCGATTTACAGTCTTCCCTTCGTCGGTGGCATCACGGCGCGGAAGTCTTTGAAGCTGATTTTCACTCCCTTAATTAATTAATTAATTATTGGCTCAAAATTAATTTCGTTAATCTCTCATACTCCTCCGGTCTTTATTATAAGACCCAATTTGACTTTTCATTTGGTCCTAATTATAAGACCCAATCCATTTTCTCTTTTATATTTATGTATTTTTTTTCCAAGATAATCCTTCTAATAATAATAGTTTTAGCTAATATACTTAATTAGCAAGGATATTTTAGGAATAACAACACTTATTTATTATAAATAACCAACTTAACTTACTTCCTTAATCTCCTCAAATAAATCAATTGGGTCTTATAATTAGAACCGGAGGAGTATTATTTTTCTATTTTTTTTTCTTTTGGCGGCAATTTTACGAGTTTGGTTGACTTTGGTCCAAATTCATTTTTGTCTTTTTTTAAATTATTCCAATTCATCCATGCTTGGTTGTCTTTTTGTCCTTTTAATTATTTTATTCCGAAGCTTAGTTGTACTTTGAAGAAAGAAGGACAAATTCTGATAGACGCGTCCCTTTTATAATTTAAGTTCTTATGAAAAATTGGAACCATAAATTGGAAAAAATTAATTTTTCTATTCTTTAAGTTTTGTTTCATTATAATTTAGCGTAATTTAGTCCGTAATATTTTTACATTTAACAGGTTAATCTTTATCATCTATAAATTATATTGAGCTATCAATTAGTTAACTTATGTGGCACCAAACTTAAGATCTCAGCCCACAGTGCAAAGGCCTCTGCTTCCACGTTGGCTTTCACTGTTCTAACACAAGGCAAAATGGAAGGTATTGAGCAGAAAACAGGGTAGAGCCAGGTATTCAGGAATGGGTAGACCTGGAAAGAAAGCATCGAGAACGATGGGGCTTCTACTTTTTGGAGTCAAATACTATTTGGGTGTTCAAAAAACACATTTTGATCTTAAATGGAAAATTGAGGCACAGAATTATGTTCTTCAAGTTATTGGATCATCTTGAAACAGAGCAAAACGAAATAGGCAGGAGAAAGCAGAGCTGAGCTCCGATGACGAAAGAGTCATTGTCTTTTTTTTTTTTTTGCTTCGTTTCTCTCGTCTCACTTTATCCCAAAAAAATTGATATGATTGGTAAGAAGTTGACTCATAACTTACTAAGTCGTGAATTTGAATCCAACTACTGATATGAGAATTTTATTAGTAGGCGATCTGTAAGTATTTCTATAAGTACTCTCTAAATCTAAAGTTGCGTCATAGTCTTCACCCCTCTCAGGAACCAACTCACATAAATTTTTTTTGTAAAAGAAAAAGAAACACTAGATAAACTCACATTTTTAAGATTAATGCACTGTTTAGAAGTTGAAACTCACATTTTTAGGTGGATAATCCTAAACACTAGAAAATGATAATCATTTTACTACATCAATACAAAGCATAATCACAAAGATGAAATAAAATTGTCTGACCATAAAAACTTAAAAGAAACTCAATCTTTGAGTCCAATCACTTAAAATGCTGATTTGGAATTAAATCAAATTAAAAAAAAAAACAGGGGTAGAATAGAGTATAGCTGAGCTTTTGTGAATGAATAACAGGAAAATTGCAACAAGCTAATTGTGAGTACAAAGAGGAAAAAATTTAAAAGGTTGAATCGGTGTTATAGAAACTTAATGGTGGGAGATTAGGCTGCACAAGGCGTGCAACAAATCCTGATTTTGTCATATATTTCTATACTTTATTTTAGGGATTTTGTCATGATTATTGTGCTTAAAGTGTATCTATTGTGATTATTTGGGATTGAGTGATTATATAGAATTAATGCTTAATAGGGCATAATCTTCACATTTTATGATTTCATGGTCTACTCGGTTGCTCTCATCTCAATGATATCTTGAAAAATTAAAGGATATCAACATGTTGTTTCAATTTTTTTCTAGTTACTCTTCAAGTCAATACAATTTTTAGTCTCTCACATTTGTCATCATTTTTTATCTTGGTCCTTCAAATTTCAAGTCACAGCTTTTGATCCCTCAAATTTCTTTTTGTTTAAGGTATTGGTCTTTATAATTTAATAAAAACTTGGATAATTTTGCCCCTAGAGGAACCAAAATCTATGATTTGAAATTTGAAGGACTAAAACTAAAATGAGGACAAATTTGAGGGACTAAAGATTATATTAACCCTTACTCTTTTTACAAAATTCATGTTCTATTAGTTTCTCATTCCTAACTTGTTCAATATCAAACTTAGTTGTATAACTCCTTTGATTTTATAAAATTGATTTTTTATTAAAGAAAGAATTATAGGTTACTTGGGAAAAATTAGAGTTTAAAAGTTAAAAGAAGAAAATGAGAGCCCAAGGACTAGGATTACCGCTAATGAAGGATTTCAAGAAATTTGTTTAGGTGCCACATGATCATCAATAATGCATTCAATCCTGTTGCATAAGACCTCCAATATAATTTTGTAGCTCACATTCCATATAAGCTTATTATTCCCTTTAGGAATTAAAGTAATGATCAAGCAATTTAACTTTTTCAGTAAATAACCACTGCTTTGAAAATTCAATACCATACCATAAATCTCTTGCTTTAAGCAGCTCCCAATTTTTTTGGAAAATTGGTTCTTTAGTTTCTTCAATTGAGAATATCTTTTTTCAAAAAATTGTTAATACTGTTGACAAAGAACTGAAACTGTCACCCGCTGCAAAAACCTGTTTAATAGAACTTTCTTTATCATTCCTTCCACCATCAATAGGACAACTAAACAACAAGAAGATTTAGCAAATTGAGCTCTTTCACGTACTTACCTTAAAATTTGTAAAATTACTTTCAAAAAACTAATCCAAACACTCTGATATTGGGAAAAAAAAATTGAATAGCTAGCTCCTATAACTGATCAGACTGATCCACTCACTTCCCATCAACATCTTGAACATGAAGAGCTCGATTGACAGCATGTCTCTACTTCATTATTGCATGAAAGGATCATGTGTTACAATCTCTACTAATCATCCACATAGATTTAACACATTGAGCTCACATCATCTCTTGACCGTTATATGAAAATTCTGACTCATGTTATAGGTTATTGTCCATATTCTGCTGCTGATGTGCCAAGTCTTCTGGTGAGCTCCTATTTTCCTCATGTTTCTAACTTCATAATTCTACTCGCAATCCGTCCCACTACTCCCCTACTCCAATCAGCGAGAGAGCCCAATGTAATTTTCAATTTTGTTTTTAATTTAGAAGTCGACAATCTTCTTACCTTAGTGCTCCAAGCTTGATTAATTATTTAATTTGATTGTGGGAACCGTTCCCAAAAGAACTCATATTTGCTGAAATTATTATATCTGAGTTTGTCAAAGAAAACTAAAAATTCCACATTTCTTGGTCCATGCTCCGCTTGGTAATCTTATCCATGTAATGTGCTCTATGCTGAACAAATCTTATCACTTCAATAAATCCTTTCTTTTCTTGTCCTTTTATTTCTTCTTTCTTAAGTCAGTATTGACACATCTCCCACTTGGTAATCTCATCACTTTATTAAGTACTTTTTTATTCTAACAAGCATTTGTCATGGCCCATAAAAGAGGATTTAATGCTCAACTTTATATCACACCAGCTTTTAAACTTTCAAGCTATTCTCTCCTCTCCTTTGATTTGCTTACTATTAAGTCCATTATTTATATTTTGTGCTAGTCTGCCATCTTGTTTTTTTTGTAGGAATAGTTTGTTTAATCCTAGGATTGCCCCTTTTGTTTGTTATTTCTTTCACAGGTTTTTCTAACAATATTTGCAATAGGATTTTAACTTACATTATCTCTTTCCACTCATAGACCTTAGAATCAGAGCATGGTTTGAAGCAATTCTTGGTAACAAGATTTTGGAACCAGAGAAAGAGCCCCATAGATTGATGATTATAAAAACCTTTATCCAGTCAAATCCAAACTTGTTCATTCACTTTTTTATTATTGGACAATGTAAACTAGTAGCCTCTTTACGGAATCTCTATTAACCTTTGCACAACTGTTAAATCTTCAAACAACTTGGAGCCATGAACAGTTAAGATTTTTGAAAATTTCTCACTAAATTGGCTTACCAAATCTAAATCCCCAATAATAACCCATGGGTCCATCACACGTTTCGCAATTTAATCATTCCAATCCCACAAAATATGCCTCTATTCAACTCTCAGATAACCATAAACACAAGAAAAATAGCACAAACAGCCATAGAAAACAAGTCATTTTGCTTCTCTGGGGCACTGCACATCTTTTTGTTTTTTGATGCCAAGATCATTCTCCAAATCCTAGAGGATACGTTCATCATTCATGCGAACTTCACAACTTCTTGCATACCATTACCCAATTGCATATTCTGTTGAAAAAATTTGCATTTTTCTGCCTGGCTGCCACGTGGAGCATATTTCTTGATCTCAAAACAAACTGAGCCATCCCACAAGTCCAAAAAGAAAAAAGGAAATTTCCCTTATTTTGGGTTGGAAGACAACTTATTAGAATAATTGACAAGTTGAGGGCTCATTTAATTTCCACCCTGTGCGTGGCCCATTGGGAAATCTCCACTATTTTTAAATTTTTTTATTTAAAACGACTATTATTTTAGTTTTACAATTAGTTTCGCTGTCTTAGGGTGTTTTTTAAATTTTGAATGTAAGAGGGATGTAGGAGATTTTAGTTAGGGATAATTTAATATTTTTAATTTAAAATTTTTATTTGTTCCTTTTAATTTAAAATTTCCTTTTCTCTAGATATACTTAGTTTTACTTCCGGGGCAAAAAAAAAAAAAAACCGTCAAAGCTGCGCGCTGAGCCGTCAAAATAAAAAATTTAAAATATCCCGCCATCAAAAAATTCAAATTCTCTGTTCCTGCTCCTGAAAGCCATCTCCACCCCTCAACCCAGGATTCGTTGGCTCCCCATCAGCCACCTCAGCACTCTAATGGGTTCTCATATTCCTCTTTTACGCC